CAGTCAGAATCCCTTTCCCACCACCTCAGGGGACAACATCAAAGGCTGAGAAGCCGAGGGCCAGGGGGCCTTCGGAGGGGAGGGACCAGGAGAGTAAGGGGAAGGTGGGGGAGAGAGGGGATAACCGATCACAAGGTTCGACCTATAACTCCCTCCCTGGGGGACGGCAACAGAAAAATGGGTAGAGACATGGGTCAGTGTAAGACATGAAAAACAGTAATAATTTATAAATTATCAAGGGTTCTGGAGGGCGGGGGGGAAATGAGCTGATATCAAGGGCTCAAATAGAAAATGTTTTGAGAATGATGATGGCAACAAATGTACAAATGTGCTTGACACAATGGATAGATGGATAGATGGATGGGTGGATGGATGGATGGATTGTGGTAAGTAAGAGCTGTATGAGCCCCCAGTAAAATGATTTAAAAATAATAAAATAAAATTTTAAAAGAGAAAGGCGTGCCCTGTCTCCTAGTGAAAGTTACCCGAGCTCATTGGACCTTCATCCCGTTCCTGTGAGGAGGTAGCACAGGGCCGGGCAGGAAATGATCGGCTCAAGGGCACTGGTGCAGTCAGCCGGCCAGCCCAGCCTTGAGCCAGGCCTTCTGGGGACACAGCATCACGCGGCTAAACCATTCCAAAGGAGGAGGTAGCTGAACCCTTTTCTTTATTGATGAGGGCCCTCCAACATAGTGCTGGGCAGACAAGGAATTCATTTTTCAAATGAATGAATGAATAAAACATTTTACACTCCTGTTGCCTATTTCAAAAAGAATGTTGTGATCGAGATAAATCCTTCTCCTCCACTTTCTGCCTCTCCCTGCACTTTTCCTTCCTCTTCCCTCCCTGGAACCTTGGCTTCCGCAGCCTTTGAAGTCTTCTTCTTCCGCGGCGTCACCTTGAACGGTGGTGGAAAGCCAACGGCGTCTGCTGTTACTTTGAGCAGCCGGATATCGAGTGTTGATCTTCTATTTGTCATTGAGCCGTCAGCAGACTGAGGCAGCGGTGACTGACCCTGGCGCCCGCTGGGCTTGTAGAGGAGCATTGAAGTGTGGGTTCCTCAGGCAGCCCGGCTTCTGTTAGCCCCTGGCACACAGCGCACACCTCTAACCCACAGGGGGCTGGGAGCTGAGGGACTTGGGCAGTGGGACAAAACAACATCCCTGTACCAGGCAAGAGAGGGCATTCGTGAAATTTCCCAGTTGCCACAGTCAGGGACCAGGCTGGCCAGGCACGAGTGGCAAGCAGGTGCAGTGAGCCGTCATCGAACCACGTAGTAAAGGCAAGAGCCATTCCTGTGCCTGGACACAGTAAAACCCACACCGGGTCTGGCAGGTTACAGACCTTCCCAGCCTTGCTCAGCCTTTCAACTCTGAGGTAACGGGGACCCCTGGGGGCAGAGGGGTCTCTAATGGCTGATTTTCCAGGGGTAGCCCTCCAGGCCTGGCTCCTGAGATGTCTCTGGGTGGGCTCGAACCGCCGGCATTTCAGTTAGCAGCTGAGCACATTAACCATTTATACTTGCCTGGGGACTCTGTACTTAGAGCAGATGGTACGTAACAAGCCTTCGAGGTCGGCCTTCCTTCCTTCCTTCCTTCCTTCCTTCCTTCCTTCCTTCCTTCCTTCCTTCCTTCCTTCCTTCCTTCCTGGTAGACGCTCTGAACGATGCTTCCCTTCTGGAAGTGGTGGTGTCCTCGTTTTCTAAAGCAGGGTGAGAGGGCAACAAATGTATACGTGTGCTTTACACAATTGATGGATGTATGGATTGTGATGAGAGTTGTATGAGCCCCGATAAAATGATTAAAGAAAATAAATAAAGCAGGCTGAGTTTGAATGCAAAAGCAGACACTGTCTCTTTAAGCACTACCAATGTGAGACCTTTGCTATGAGTTGCATCCACTGGCTGACAGTGAGCTTGGTTTCTAATGAGGAGCGCTGGTGGCACATAGTAGGTTATGATGGGTCTGCTAACAAGCACACAGCCAGCAGTTTTAAAAACCACCTGGTGCTCTAAAGGAGGAAGATGGGGCTGTCTGCTCTCGTCAAAAGTCAGGGTCTCAGAAAACCCACAGGGGCAGTTCTCCGTCTTCTAGGGTCCCTGTGATTCGGAACAGACTCAAGGACAGTGAGTTTGGTGTTTTGGTAGCTTAATTATTCAAATTGATTTCCAGGATAATATTTTAATGAATACAAAAATGTTTTTTTCATAAATGATTTTTGAAATAGAGTACTGCCTTGTATCGCGTTCTTTTCATCTTTATGCGTATTTTCTGATGCATGTGCAGCATTAGTGCTGCTGTCCATGGCACCGCTTACGATAGACAGTCCACGTGTTGGGTGCAAAGATAGTTATGTAAAAGGAAACTGCTTTGCATCTTTCTTGTTGCATATCTTAAAATAAAATTTTGGTAGAGCTGTTACATATGTTTTCTACTGTGTTGTGTCTGTCTTCTCAAAAAATCAATGTACTGTATTACCAACATCAGTAGGAGTACCTCCTGCATCTAAGCTCTGTAAACAAACGTACATCCAGAATTCACCCCCACCCCCACCCCCGTGCTGCCTTCAAGGTGCTTCTGAGCCATGGGGCTGGTAGGACAGGACACCTGGCTTGGGAAGACTAAGACCATCAGCACCTACTGGAGACCCAACCTGGGTCTGTTGGTTTGTTTGTTGTAGTAGTTTTATTGGCGTATAACTCACATAAAGTACAATGTAGCAGTTCAGTCGTGTTAAGAAGAGTTGTCCAGTCATCACCTCAACCACCACAATCCGTTTTAGAGCATGTTCTTCCTTGACTCCCTGTTATTAGCTCTCCATTTCTCCCCACGCTCCCCTGCGGGACCACCAAGAAACCAAGAATCCAGTCACTGTCTCTAGATTTTCCCAGCCTGCATCTCAGAGCCAAAACATGCAGAAGAACCAACCGCTCCAGCAAAGTAAAGCAGAGAAAGGAGGACATAGGAGAAAGTAGAATGCATGTAAAGTGGGTGTGAGGGAGCTCAAAGGATACAGTGTTACATTTGTAAGCTCGCTGCTGCATCTGCAGTGCTCCACTCTGCCATGCTCTCTGGGCGGCTCGCCTCCCTGGTCTGCTGTCAGAGGGCTTGCCGCACCAGTCTTAAGCCCCCTGTATTCTCCCCACCACCACCACCACCACTTTTTTTTTTAACTGGAACGACTTGAAAGTGGGTCAAAGGGCAGATCAAGTGATAAGGTATTACATTTTACCCTAACTACATCTGCCGTAATCGATTTTAGGGTGCTCTCCAAAGCTGACCTCTGCTGGACAGAGTAGGCAGCTTGCAAAGGAGCTGCCCCTGACCAGCGGCCAGAGTGGCTGTCCCTGGACTCAAAGCCCTGTCAGCAGCCGGCTCTGCCTCTGTCCTCGCTGTTCAGGACTCCTACCTGCAGCTGGGTCTCCACTTTCCAGAACACGTGCCCCGCCACACCCGTTTCCACCAGAATGGCCATAAGGAGAGTGGGGCCACTTAAAACTCTTTGCTCGTCTTGTTTTTAAATTTGCTGTCGTTTTCCCTGTGGGATAGAAAACGAGTGCAGGAGATGGCCAACGTTTAGACAAGTAAAACTGTTTCACTGTGTGTGGATCTGAATGTAAATGCCCCAGTGTTCTCTTGAGGACAAGGGAGTCGGTTGTCTTTCGCCTTTCAGAGCAGTGTGGTTTTCAGAATCACTGGCTAAACCATGATGGCGTCCTTTTCGCTTTTAGCGATGAGCGTCAGGGAGCGCGTTCTTGGCAGAGCATGCCTGGGTTGGCATCTGGCTGCATGTGGAGTTCAGGCTGTGCGGTGACAGTCATTGCAGCTCACTGTTGATGATCCCTGGCGACCAGGGAGAAGGTTGATGTGGACAAGTTTCATTAATAGCTAATCCCCCCAATGCCATATTGGCCGAGAGGAATTGCGCCTCCAAATTGAGAGCTTTCAGGCTTTCGCTGCCTCTGCCCACCTTCTGATGGGTGCTGCTCTCTGAGAACAAGATACAATGCAGCCAGGTGAGGCAGCCCGAGAAGTCTTGAGGCTGCGAGCGTCTCGGGCCACTGGCCCAGAGTGAGCAGGGAGTGGCCCCGTCGGCCCGGAGCCCCTGGGGCAGGGGGTGCGTGCAGCGGGGCTTCGGACTCAGCAGCGAGGTGGTCTGGGAACAGAAGGTGGTGGTGTGATGGCCGGCTGAGAAAGGCTGATTCTGAAAACACTGCGCACCTCGCTGGACTTTAAAAGTAACCCTTGACCTTGCAGGTGATCACCTTCTTCAGCTCGAGGCTGCTGCAGGCTGGAGCGGAGCTCTCCGTGGAACGGGTCCTGGAGATCATCAAGCAAGGGGTTGTCGCACTGCCCAAAGACAGGCTCAAGGTAAGACCCGGCCAGTGCCACCGATGGGAACGGGATACTTCTGTCTGAGCAGGCTGCATGCGGAGTCGCACTGCCAGCCCAGTCCCCGTGCTGCAAAGAGACCGTTAATTACTAGACCAGCGGTTCGCAACCTGTGGGTTAAGAGCCCGTTGGGGTCAGACGACCTTTTCACAGGGGTCGCCCGATTGATAACAGTCGCAAAATTACAGTTATGACGTAGCAAGGAAAATCATTCTATGGTTGGGGGGAAACCACAACCTGAGGAACTGTATGAAAGGGTCGCGGCCACAGGAAGGTGAGGACCGCTGTGCTGGACGGAGAGGAGGACTGTGACGGAGGTGTGTGCTGAGAGAAAATGACCAACAAGGAAGTGCCTCCCACTCCCTGCAGATCCAGCAGGGCTACTATGCGTAATCCCTAAGCTCTGAATAAGGAGGCCCCTTTCCCTCCCCCTTCCCTGGGAAACCAGTCCATCGCGTGTCGGGATTCGCAGGGAGCCCTGGTGGTGCGGTGGTTGAGTGCGCAGCTGCTGACCGAGAGATCTGCAGTTGAACCCCGCAGCGGCTCCGGGGACAAAGACGGGACAGTCTGCATCCGTCCAGACGAACAGCCTCAGCAGGCCCCTGGGGCAGGTCCACGCTGTGCTGTAGGGTCACTGTGAGTCTGAACGGACTCGACGACCATGGGGTCAGTTGGTCTCTAAGTTCTGTG